CCTGGGAAGAAGTAGGTTGCAATAAAAATGAAGGATAGGTATTGTCGATTGGATAAGCAAGCGGCCCGATGCGGGATAATTCTTCGATGAATGCAGGAGGGAGGAGAACAGGGTGTTCGTGGAGTTGGACAGGGCTGTGGTAAGGTGGGTTGAAGAGGCTGAATGGGAGGCGAGGATTGAGCAGGTGAAGGATATTGGGAAGCGTACAGCACCAGAGAGAGAGAGAGAGAGAGAGAGACAATGATGCAGGATGATAGAGAGTGGGGATAGGAGTGGGGACAGTTAAGAAGGTGATTGTTGTTGATGGTGGAGGTGGGTAGATGGTTGGAGAGAGGAGAGGTTGATGGGATTGAAGGGAGGTTGATGAAGCGTTGGTTGGTGTTTGGGTGATGTTGGGATGTTTGGGGTCTGGGAGAGTGGGAGCGGGATATTTAGGGACGGAAAGGGTCTGCTTTGGGACTGGGCTGGGGCTGGCTGGGGCTTACTACTCCTGCTACGTAGGCTACATACATGCAAATGAATAGCAATTTACGGGCACAGGGCTTGGCTGGGGGCTCTTTTGGAGCAGCAGAGTGTAGTAGCTATATACATACATTTACTACCACGACTTATTAAGATGTATTATTATAGCTTTGCTGATTCCGACGATCTTGATTGATTATGCTTGTGTTATTTTATCATGGTTATTTATTCCTCAACAGAAGTAATTGCGAAGAAAAAAAGTTCAGAGTACTGACAAATGCTAAGAATATAGTTGCCGCTGCTCGGTTGCACTATGGCTTGGGCATCGCTCTCAGTCGCAGACCCTCGTGGTGGGTGCGTGCCAGTGGATGAGAAAGGTGCGTGTCTGGTGATGTATGCGTTAAACTTCCAGGGCTAATTACTAAACTATATCTTTGAACAACTTATTGTTCCCCCAATCCAACCTGCGTCCTGTCAGTCGACTAAGCCAGAATCAACGCATGCGGCCAGAGCTGGAAAAGGAAAACCGCTCATCCCGCAATTTCAAACATAAGAAAGAAGTAAAGCCAAAATTACGTTGATATAATTATAAATCTCTTGATGACAATAATAGAATGAGTTGACGTAGACGCTATTTCTCTGACATTTCTCAACTCCTCTAACACTTGAAATTTTGTTAGTTACTCTTTGCACCGGGAATTATATTATACATCAGTTCTCCTCTTTTCCGATACTCCACGGTTCTGCTTGCGTATCGGTGACTTGTATCCCTATTGATCCGCCCGCGGCAATCTAGGTATCTGGTACCCCGGAGTTGGACCATGGCACCCACTTTCTCAATAAAACTAATCCACGCACGCACCAACGGCCAGCCAGTCAATTGATTGAGGATTTGGGATAGGTTCTTGCTCAGAACGGAGTTCTGGCATTTCCAACTTCCAAGGTTTACCCTTATTGTTGATAGTTTCGAATCCAAACACCTGTCATCTACGGATCGGCCGATGACTGGGTAGCAGATTATTTTCATTATTATTGCACCCAGGGCTGCTCACCAGAGGCTAACTAGGGCTACTTTTATGTTTGCAAGCAACTCGAGACAATCGTCTATTTAGGACGCAAACACTCTGGCAGGAGACATTAATGAATTCACTGGACTATGAAACAGCCAGCATCTGATCTTCCTAACAACCCCGCATAATAAAATACTATTATAATCACAGCACGCGACTGCAAGGGTTCTCGTCTCAAATCCCATCATCCTATCCTTGGATCTTAGATAACAACAGCCCGCGGGGTTGACCAGGCAAGCAAAACTAGGTATATAAATATAGACCTTCAGACCCCATTCAACCAATGAGAACAAACATCCACGAATCCCTTTCATAAAAAAAAAAAAGAAAAAGAAAAAGAAAAGAAAAAAGGCCCAATTGGACCAAATCTGTAAGCAATACAAAGTTTAAAAGAATAAGATAAAAGAGGGGTCCTGCAATTGTGTTTTCATCAACTCATTAATTATTACCATGACAATCCATCATTATTCAGCTCTCAAAAGATATAAAAATAAAATAAAATAAATAAATAAATTCAACTGTTATCCTACACACTGAGGTAGGGAAGCTTTGCTACACAAATGCCATGAGGCCTCTTGTTCCTTCTGTAACCTGTGAGTGACGAAGCTCATACTTGAAACCCTTGAATCTCAACATCGTCAATCAATCAAACACAATCCACAAGGCCGAGATTTCAATTGAAGCAGCTTTTCAAAAGTAGCACACGGGCGTAATCACTTACGCCTCACTAGGGCCTTTGGGAACCAATTCGTTCGCATGGAATCCCAGATTCCTGTCAACCGTATTGGCCTCCCCCAACCATTAAGTTTCAAAGGGGTTTTTTTTTTTACCCCTTCTTCAGAGCCGTCTCAGCCTCATGCCAGTGACTACGCCAGAGAGACAAGGAGAAGGTTTGGCGGTTTAAAAGAAAAAAGCAACACACAAAAAAAATAAAAGGGCTCTGCGCCAAATAGGTAGTGACCTAACGATAACCTGCTAACTAACTAGTTAACTAGTTAACTAACATGATGTTATTTTCCAGCTGACTCCACCAGCTGTTGCCAATAATGCCACCGATATCTAATGGACTTCACTAAAGGAGAGAGTGTCCATACACTGCCGCAGTTAACTACTCTAGCTCAACAGACCAACACAGATCACCAGAAGGAACGTTCGCCCTTGCACCCGTCTGTGCAGAAATGGCCCATTAAGGGCCACGACCCGGCTCACAGGGGATCCGTGTAAACGGACGGCCCTGAACTTTAGAGGCCCTTGGAAGAGTGGAGATGCAGACTTGAGCTTGCTAGTAGTTGGCACGATTGGCATGATTGGCAAAGAATCAAAATGCCAGTCTCCAACTTGGAAGTTGAAATACCGAGCAGGCTAATCAGGGGGTGAGCGCGGGGTTCAGCCAAGCTTAGCAGCTTGGCTCTTTATTTTTTTTATTTTTTATTTTTTTTTTTAACATACGATGGGGACATTTTGGCGAGACCTGCCAAGTTGATGGGAGGAAGTTTCTTCCAAGTGTTCATGCTAAACTTCGGTATGGTTGTTTTCTCGTGGGATTGTTCTTGTTTTGTGGTAATAGTTAGGGAAGGGGGAGAGGAAGAAGTCGGAAATTGAATCAGGTCGAATTCCTGAACTTCACCCCTTTAGGTGCATGGAGATTTCAATCTGGAGTAGTAAGGAGTAGTAAGGTGGGGTTTACCTTTACAGGAGGAACATGCTCGCAGTTATTGGTTGCATAAAAGCACCTAATATGAAGTGACCTCTCCATAGCTTACAAACATCCGTCGAGTCGATTAGACGTGGGGATATTCCACTCGGTCTGCATGTCCACGTCCATGTGTATGTATGTATGATGAGCAGGGAAAGTCCAATATTTGTCTGAGCTCGACAGGATCAGTTGGGACCGGGGGGGTTTGGAAAAAGAAAAAGGGGCGGGGAGTTAGGTAGTTAATTTACCGAGTTCATGATTGTCACACGAAGGACAAACTTTGGGGGGTAAAATTACGGACGGATATTTACCCTTATTCACTCCGGATTCGCCTGGAATCTTCAACGAGGCTGAGTTCCGACCTAGAAAAGCTGTGGGATCAACTGAACTATCTTGAATCTTGAAAGAGCAATGAGATGTTGATGATCTTGAGTTGTTGTGATAATTATTCAACAACTTAAGAAGTTATAGATCTGAGCGGCATTAATTGCGATTTAAGAAGAAACCCTGGAATAATTGTGATCTGCGGAATGGAATAAATAAATCATCATGAGCTCCATCTTACCGCCTGAGCAGGCAGGTGGATGTCTGTTGTCCTGAGACTACTGATCCATGGCTCGGTTCTTGATAATAATACGATGAAAAGCATCAATGGGGCCGTGCAGCATGCTCTCCGTACCATGTCCGCAACACATCTCCGATCCGCACAGATAGATGGCTCCACCGGTAGTAGTAGAGGTAGCGGCAGTCAGTTACTAACCTCCCCACCCATCCATTGATCAACGGCGAGTTGGCCATCAACTTGAAACCAGCCATCGTTGAATAGTAACCCTGGATGTTTAATGCCCACGAAGGATTTCTAAATATTACTCACTCTGTGGTATTTGTATATCAACACTCGAACACGCCGAAGCTGTGGTGGAAGGCATTCCATACCACATACGGGCTACTACAAGCACTCCACAATAATCACTCCACACCTAATTATTGATTGCAGAAGAAGATCCAGCCCGTCCATTGCCCCAAGTCGCGTACAGCACCCAGGGGTTGCATCACAACGCACGGAGAACTCCACACATAAAACCTCCGGTTCCCTACTCCTGTGATATACATGTTGCATATCCGATAGAATAATAAGGCACTCCGCGCGTTTCATGGATACATATAACACCTTTCTCTTCTCCCGCTCCAATGTCACTGGTGCCTCTTGACTTTGACCTCTTCCTGCGCTTTCTTTGTTTGAATTTCGCATGACGTGTAACTTGCAAGCAATAATGCCCCTATGGGCACCAAAATTTCCTGCACGAAATAACTGCTCACACTAGACCTCGCTCGGGCCCTGTAACCAGATGTCTGCCAAATTCCGTTCGACCGCGGATTTTACTCCTTTTGGGAAGCTCATGACTCGACATTAAGCAGGTTCAAATGGAAAAACGAAAAGAAAGCAGAAAAACCAAAATGGTGTCTGACTCGTCGGCCCAACTACGACTGAAGGTTCCGTTCGCTGCCATCACAACTGTTTGGTTCGCACAGCGGAATCTCACCAATTGCGGAGAGATCTACCGAGATTGATTGGGGGAGCCTGGTCTTACAACGGGTGGCCACGATGAAATCTATGGCTTTCACGCGGTTGATCGCCCACTTGGGAGTTATGAGATGCCGCCATTATTGCCACAATCATCGATAGAACAAGGGTTACCCAGCCCTGCTTCTTTTCAAAGCCGAAACCACATGAAATTGTTACGTGGTTGACACAGTGGCGTATCAGCAATAGCCACAGCTGACTGAGTTCTTTGATACGGCATTCTATTTTCAAAAAAAAAAAAAAAAAAAAAAAAAAAAAAAAAAAAGAATTGAGTTTTGAATTCTTTGCATCTACCTAGTTACCCCGCAGCGCTTGAACCTAGGCGGCAATGATTTTTCCGTCGGTCACTCCGAAGGGGTTTGAGTTGGTTTCCAGAAAGCACTTCTGATTGCTGATTACAGATATGGAAGTCAGGGGGGTTCCCAGGGAATTGAAATCAGGAGGTAAAGGAAGAGAACAAGCCCCTGGAAAAGGGAAATGACATTCTCAACATCCGATGAGCAGGCTTCCTTTCCCTCTCTTCCGCGGAAACGGATAATACGAAAAAAGACGCATAGGACAAACTTGTTCAAAACAACATTCAGGACAAGGAAAGCAGAAGGGGGAAACAAAGGGTAACAACAGATAAAAAGAAATTATGTATGAATATATATCTAGAGAAACCACTCAAAATGGGTCTTTGGGAACCCCACTCCTTTTCATCATCTGCCCCTGGAAACACCATTAGCTGGTCACTTCCCCAAGCCTGGCCTGCCTCCGTGGAAGGACTCTACCTGTCAGCAACTTGGTTTCGGTATAGTTTGGCTATAGTCCACGGCTGGTAAACTGCCAACACCGAAAAAGAGGAAATCAGCATGCTTGATATAAAATTACACCAAAGTGATAACTATTCTTAGGTCAGTCGTTCACTGGTAGAAAGAACGTGAAGTAGGAGCAAGCGATCTCTCTGGTCTTTCAACTGTGGTATTGTACAGACACATATCTACTCTGCAAGTTACCTTGTAGCCAGCAGCTGGCAGAATCTTGTATTCCCTCCGTGCACAATTACCGTCCGGGTAAAGGAAAATAAACATGGGAAAAAGAGTAGGCGGTGTGGCAGTTGATGTCCTGTACATACATACACGCTGTGGCCACATATCATAACTCCATATAATCTCATACAAACACATGGTTTTCGCCTCATTATATTCAATTAAAATGAGACATTGTTTCCTTAGAAGTGGGATACAATCCATCCAAAAATCTTTCTTGTTCGCCAATCATGTTACCCTCTTTTTCGATTATATGATTATTCTTCAAAATAATGATATATGTGGGTACGTATACGCATATATTTAATCGTTTGTCTTTTTTGTCCACTTCAAAACAGTGGGAAGCCATTCAGTGCTTCTACTCGACAACTCCGAAGAGATTCAATTTAACCAATAATTGCATCAGTTGGCACGACACTGTCCTGTGTGGATAACCAAACAGAACACCTACGGTGTCCATCACATAGAAATTCACAAAATCAATAATTTAGTGTGGTGATAGAGGTGGTCCAAATCATCAATCCTCAGTGCCCCTGTGTCTCCAAGGCTTGGAAGTGATTAAAAACGATGGTGTTCCCCTTTTCTCTCACTTTCAGGGAGTTCAGGCCATGTAGTTGATGGATAAACCTCATGGAAACTGGTTTGAGGAACTGCACTGATGATTTCATTGCCTCAGGATTCAAGAGAATCGTGCCTTCTTATATGCTGTTGTATTTTCACCCTGTTCATCTGTCCATCTTAAACAACCCCTCCGCATGTCTAAATGCAAGATAAGTTGTATATATCAACTTAGACTATGCGAGGCACATTGTGCCATACACTGTGAATGTCCACCATTGATCTTCTATTTGCGAATCATGGAAGCTGGGCATATTTTATCAGTACAGGGACTAATAAATAATCAATAACCTGGTTATTGACGTCTGATTCATAGATATCTCTGTAGAAGACAAATTAGATGTCATGTTCGTAGTCTCTGGCACCTTATGAAGTTGATAAGATATGAATGACACATGTGATTGAAGACAGTTAATATCTTGTGGTAGCTTGCAGTAGCTAGTGAGATAATTCGTTGTACTTAAAAGAAAATAGTGATGCTGTCAAGATGGGGAAGCCAATAGAGCAAAAGGCCTTGGAAACTCCGAGAACTGCGGGAATGTTGAAAGACAGGGAAGCAATGGGACTAGTCTGACAAACATTTCCCTTCCATCCCTTCTGTTACTTTCCCTGATATCATCCTTTCCACGTGTTCCAGCCGTCCCATTCGTCTTCCACAAATATCATGGGGTAAATACGTCAAATGTAGATCCTCTCATCAAATTGCTTGAAGAAGAAAAGAGCAGAATACAACTATGACAATCATGAGTTAATGAGGAGTTAACTTACAATATTTTAATTTTCTTTGCACAGTTCTCAAAGAAGACACTGCTTCATTGCACTGCCGGCCAGGCACAACCCATCATAGGAAACTCACAGCTTGTGAAAATCTGGAGAAGATTTCCTCACTCAGCAGTTCTGTTTTCACTTATGCTTTTTGTGCATGAATGTCAACAATTCTAGCTAGTCAAAGTCATCTTCAGCTTGTTCCCAAGCTTCGAAATTGTGGGAGAGATACTGCACACTCAGAGAAGTCAGCTGCTCGAGCAGGTTCACTTTGCGATGCCGAGGGACTCAATCACATATATAAGTTGCTATTCTAGTTTGCGTAAATAGTAATGTACCCTTTATTGGAAATATATTGAGATCCATCAGGCACTCCGCAAATTCTAAACAGCTCTGCAGGAGCTACTTTTAGCGACTCTGCTCAGCCACAGCAACAAACCGAAAGTGCGTAGTCTTCAGCAGATATTCACATGCGTGTCTGACTGGGTTTAGAATCTCCTACTGAAGACAGTTATCAACTTACAGCTCAAGATGCCCAAGAAGCGATCGATTAAATTTAAGGCAAAATATAATTAACAATAACATACAATCCGAGCGCCTTGCCCTTCATACCCATTCCAATCTCAAGGAAACTAACTGAGTGATCAGATTGCCACACAACGTCCGCAGATGATGATGTTAAGGATGGCCCTGGCCCAACAGCTTCTAATCCTCCAACTTCACCATATACCCTACCCGGAGACAGCCGGTGGTGTAGTAAAACCAGCCATGATCCCAAGGGATAATTACCACATTCCCTAGCTCATCGATTCCAAAACCTCCGACATACTCATTGCTCTCGGACTCGTGCACAAAAATCGCACCTTTCTTGTTCCTGGCATCGACGACGACGAAGACTGTGTTTTCTGAGGGCTTTAATTTGACATTGTTTTCCAACGGTTGCCAATCTGGGTCGTCGATATCCAAACAGACAGCCTGCATATCGGTTAATGTCTGACTAAATCTTGTATGGAAAGGGCGGCAGAAGTCTTGCCTCATCTTTTGTTTTCAAATCCTTAATTTTGTGGACCATTACTTTCAACAGGGATGTAGAAATGTCGTGCTTTTCCCCACTTAAATCCAAATTGTTTCTCAAAACCCGATATTCCGGTTTTACCTCTTATAATTCGTAGAGAAAAGCTTAAGAGCGCTTGGAGAACACTCAGTTTTAAAATGTTCTTGGAAGGACAGAAGTGGTCATCAAAGAAAAGCTGATAATTATTAACAGACAATTTTAAAAGATAAGACTGTTTCTGTTTGCTGATGATGTGGACAAATATACAAATGATGTGGTTATCTCTTGTCAAAAACTCTAATTAACCATGCCAAGGAGGTTGGATTCATCTTCAAGAAAGATCGTGCTGAGAAAGACAATATTAATGGTGTGTTGGAGTTGGTTATCAGCACTTTAAGATATGACCCTTTTACAGCAACATGGTGGCTGACGATGGTATCGGTTGGTGGAAGACAGCTATGCAGGATAGCACTAAACCATTTCTGGAAAACCATGTGTTGTCATTGCTCTCCGCATGTTGTACAATCAAAGCCCTGACGTCACACTTTGAATAGGTTTAATCTTCCACCAAACGGTCCTCCTTCCTTGACAGTCTATCCGCTCTCTCATCGAGCTTCTTGCGTCTGCGGAACAGAAGGTAAGTTGAGCTTCTGAGATGGTTTTTGGAACCCACCATTTCTTATTATAGCCCAGAGTATTCAACTGCTAGCATGTCATATTACAAAGATACAAAATATTAAAAAAGAATCAAAACGATTTGAAACTTTTAAACCATCTCATGGTATATAATTTGTGAAGGGGCTGTGAAATTCTTAAAGAAAAGTTTATTCAGATTCAGCTTCTTATTATAACTTTGATTTTCTTTGATCAGTTTTTGCTTCTTTTAGCAGAACAGTGAAATCTCCAAGTGTACCTCTTATCTATTATCATGCTTCTATCATGTGACACCAGATTTTTTATTTTTTATTTTTTTTTTTGAGCAGAACAAAGCATTTTTAAATTATAGTAGATTATTGTATGATTCAATATCTATATTTATTCCAGTCACTAAGTGATATTGAAATAACTCTGAAAAGAATAATGAGTTTTCACACTGCTATCACTAACTACAATTAAAGCTCAGATGACTATCAATGAGACTGCTGTTATTCTCTTACAATTCACTGATAGATATTGAGATAATTAGAGAAGAGGCTTGAAATGAAAGCAAGTTTGTTATCAACTCTCTTTCAAAGTCTCAAAGAGATATGGTCACAGCATTTCTATCAACTTAAGCTTGCTATATACTAATACAAGCTGTGATTAATAATTACTCATAAATGCTGAGTTTTGTTTGATATGAATTATAACACATTGACTAATATCTATTTTAGATTATATCTTTCACAGCTCATCAACTAAATATAATATAAAATACAGATTGGGAGGACTTGTGTTTTTGCCAGAAGAGTCAGCTATTGAAAATACATTCTAAGCCCCAAGGCTCGTTTCCCCGGGCGTACGAAGAAGAGTACGACCAGGTGCCAGAGCCCAGCTCAGCAGGTGAAGGAGAGACCGAATACAAGTTGGCAGGGTAAGCAATCGAAGGAGCTAGTTCAAGCCGTGACACGAGAAAAAGGCTCGTATGCGATGAATCGGATGATGGGACCCCAAGTCCTACGCTTACCCCAATTCCCATGCCTTCCCCTAATGCCAGCGGAATGATCACCGTGACTGCGGCCGATTTGTTCGCGTTTTGCCAGCAGATGATGGCTACGCGAGAGAACGCCCGAGTGAGTGACAATAGAACAACCCTGCGTATACCCTAAAACAGGAGATACGTGAATACCAAAAGAGGTGCAAGCTTCTATAGATACGAAGGCCGTGACGACGTTCGATGGTACCAACTATCAAGCCTATAGGATAGGAATCCTTGCGGACGCAGAGGTCATCGGTGGCACGGATATCCTGACGAAGAACCAGCACGAACCGCCTGAAGAATACGACACTAACCCGGTAGAAAAAGAACGTTGGATAGTGCGTACTAAGGCTCTATACCGTCAAATGTTGCAGTCCCTGCTAGGACCCGTACAGACAACAATTGGAGTGTTGGAACCAGACAACGCAGCTGCCCTATGACAGAGGATTAGTATTGAAAACACTGTCTCATTAGCAGAGGAGCGTATGAACGTTATGAAAGAGCTCTCGACCTTATTTGTCAAGGATAATGATTATCTTGCCTACCAGAGGAGATTCCGCTACCTTGTTGCACGCCATAAGAAATTAGCCACCAAAACTGATGATTTTTATCATGATCTCTTCCTCAACGGTCTACGAGACCACCAGAGAGCCTTCGCAAAGACTTGCCTTGACGATTTCTATGCGACTGGCCAAGATCAGATCGTAAACATGGATATCAACAATCTTATGAAACAATTGACCAATCGTACGAGCAAGACGACGGAGACTGAACGTACGAAGATACCTAGGGTGAATGCTGTCACGAATGACGGCAATCCTCAGCTCAGTGCGTCCACTTCCACGTCAACATCCACGAAGTGCGAAATCTAGGAACACGCAGGTCATACAAGGAAGACGTGTTGGCGTCCGCACCCAGAACTGGCGAGCGAACGGTGGAGGGAGGCTAATAAGGATAAGATTATTGAGAATGATGAAAATAGCGGATAAAAATCAATGAATTATAGGAGCAAAGATAAAAACAAGAATAGCAAGGAAGACAAAGCTAATGACAAAATGCCGAATCTTCTTGCCTCCCGACCTAGTGCCGACTCTGCGATCGCTCTATCCGTGTCATCCGAAATATCCTCCAAACCCTGGTATCTCGCACATGCGCCAGCTTTAATATGAGCGGTGAAGGGCATCCGATAATGCGTACGAAGTCATTCGAGGGGTACCTTAAGGTGAGCAGCCGATGGAGTCCATGAGCAGTTAAGGAGATAGGGGATATCCTCCTAGAATCAGAAGGGGGGGATATCATGGTCCGCCACGTGTACTGGATCCCGAATCTCACCATCAACTTGTTGTCGTTCGCGAAGCTAGAAGATCAAGGCTTCAGATTTGAACTATACTTATCCACCCCGTCTTATTTCATCATAAGAACCCCAAACGGTGTCATATTTACCGCGATTTGTACGCCCCAAAGCTCCATCTATAAGATCATCGAACGAGATTCAGAAATCGGTGTCCACCATTTGCCCAAAGCGGTCAATTATATCGCCCAATTTTATCATTATGGAGACGTGATGGCGACAGTCAGTGAATCTGACGATTAATCCAACAAACTGACCACATTCCCACTGAGGATATGGCGGCAGACGGGCTTACGAAACCTTTAGGCACAGTGGCATTTCAACATTTTATCAGTTTGCTAGGGCTTTCATATGAAAAGTAGTTGAAGCCAGCAAATTCTTGTATGTAGCGTGTAATAGGAATTCAAGCAACTCACACAATATCTCAAACCATGTGATGATGCCGGGTAGGTGGAGTATAATCGGTCAAAATGGAGTGCCCAGGTCTCAACGTTTGCTCAAGTATTTTCTTAGTCAAAAAGAAAACCCCCCCCATGTCCTCATTAAAGCCTGTAAAAATGGCCTTGGGAATGTCCTTCAAGATGAATTCGTCCTGTCCAAATCGGAGCAGTTGTCAGTTAGCCTAGCTACACTAGTCACATGATGGGACGGGTATACGCGCACGTTGCCAACCAAAGGCGACTTGCGATGCAGTCTTTCCTGAATAAGTTGCTTCAAGAGAAAGTGACGTCCAGCAGCACCAAGTAGTTCACTGGGTGGAGATGCCCATATTCGCCTCAAAATTTTGTGAGAGATTACGCTTGCGGCTTGGTGAAAGCCCATTTCTACATTTGCCACTTGACACAATTCGGGATCAGCGGATATTTGTGTACAAGTACATGAATGATGATTTTCTGAGCCTTGTTAGAAAGCAAATACTCATAAAAAGCTAGGAAGCAGATTCTAAAAAGCCAGTTTCCAAGGGATTGCTGAGCTACACAGCCATGACATTGTCCATTTAGGTGAAGCAAGCACTCTTGAAGAACTGTAGCCTAAGTCTAATTGCTTCCAGATATCAAACCTGACATTATCATGATCAATTACCGCGGTTCTGGCACAGAGACCATTATTGAGCAGGTCCAGATCATTGATCTTGAAAACACAGCTTATCTCCCTAAAGAGAGGTGTATCAAAGGGATGTTAGCCGGCAATGATAGCTGGTGCAGCCCAGATGATCACTTTAAGGGCGAACTTAACAAACCATCTGACATCTTCTCATTCACAGCTGTGGTAAGTTGCACTTCTTGAGATTAGCCTCTTACCTAGCTAACTGACTCAGTGCATCTATGCTATGTTCGGAAGAGTCATCTTTGGAACCAATGATGATTTACTGAAACATGAATCACAAGGTGCATTCACTCACATCATTCGCAGGCAACGTCAGGTTTCCTTTTTGGGGATCGAGAAGAATTGAACGGGCTCATGACGCACCTTGGTGATGAGGGAGTCAACTCCCAGGTCCTTGGATATCTTTGGGATGATCGGGTGGTAGATTATCATCGCTTCAAGTCATTCTCAGAGTGGCCGAATGTCAATGACGACATGTTCGAGGATCTCATCCATAGGATGACGAATTTGGATCTTCAAAAACGGGAAACAGCGCGCGAAATGTTGGAGCACCCCTGGTTTACTGATTGTGAGCTTTGTTAAAAGTCTTGGAAATTATCTTTCTTGAAATATTGCAGATCTCACATTTCATGTAAAGGGACAGGAAGATATTCATCGTCCAGATGACATTCCCCTCACCAGATCTTCCCCATCAACCTTTTCATTTTTTTTTCTTTCTCCACAAACACTGCCTGCTCCCAAGCCAAACTCCCTTTTGGTGGAGAATCACTACTAACCCTGTCTGTCTAGGCACTGCTTTCCCTGCTGAACTCTTTTCCACTATGCAGTTCTGTTGATTAACCACATTATGTGATCCTTCGAGGTGGCAAGTGGCTCTTGTGCATAACTAGTTTAGCTCTAGGCCTCGGTAGCCACTTCGGAGCTGAGACGTAAACGGGATGAAGGGACAGGCGACTATCTGCAACTTCCACCACACAGTGGCGGTGCCTAAGGGGATTTCGTGGGCAGCTCCCCACTTGGGAAGTATATCACACAATAATGCTGAGAACTATGAACAGACAGTTCTACTGCTACACTGCTTTCATATCCTCAGGATGGCTTAAGCCCTTCCCGCTCTTGGCCTTGGAACCATCAAAACTATGCACGGTAGCCTTTTAAGTTTTTACGACTAAGAATAGAACAACTAGTTACATCGCAAGTGAGGAGAGATTCCTCATATCATCCATAGAGAAGGGCAAAATTTCAAGCATCATTAGACTTTTATCCAATGCAAAGATGGGGCAGGAACAAATTGAATCAATACAGTAACAGGTCGCAGCTAAACTTTAGACCTGCACTTTCTTGGAGTGATTGATTCCTCAAGGGAGGTCTCCCACATCACTTGAGGAATCGGCGATTCTCTAGTTGCCCTTCCAGACCAAGCGTGGAACCTGTGGAGGGATCAGATTAACGTTCAAGTTGCCAAGATGGTCATAGTCAAGTCTTTTTATCATATCTCTTGATTATTTTCCTAGACTATTATTGATTTAACAATTTCACCCATCAATAAGTCACTTCTTTGATGTCATTTTTATTTATCTTCAATCAATTCCAGCAGTGGTTAAAATCTGGTCCTTAGAGTTGAACTCCTGGTCACTCTAAGCATTGAATCCAAAACCGCATGTACTTGATATGGTAAGGGAAATTGAGATTATACTATTATAGTTTAAACTTTTATTATTATTAAGAAGTGTATTTCATATTTTTTATAAAAATTTATATAAGAATAAAGAAATAATAAATTCGATGATGAGATTAAATGTTGACTACTTGATTACAGAAGATTATCAACAAAGAGTTAGCTTATTATAAATATATTATTACTTTAATTAGTATATATTATTTACTATTACTTTTATTATTAAAAAGATTATTATATATTAATTTAAAATTGTTATTATTTTTTTAATTAATTTTATTTATAAATATTAATATATTTAATAATTTAAATTATTATTTTTTATTTTTTTAAGTAAATTTATTATAATATTAATTATATTATTTAATATTTTATATATTTTTATATTATATAAATATAAAATTTTAATATAAAATAAATTTTTAAATTGTTATAAAAAATATAATATAAAAATAAATACTTTAATATCATATTATAATTTTATATTATTTTTTTACTTAATTTTAATATTATTTATATTAAGACTAAATGTCAATCTCTGATTAAAGTCTTTATTATCTTTAATTTAGTATTTTACTACTAGTTAAAAAGGCAGATCAAGAATAATAATTCACTTATATTGAAGTGATTTGAATCATATTTTGTATCATTTATCAACTACTCCAAATGATTGAATATGCAATGAAATTTCTTTCCTTTACTATGACACATCACCATGCTTCTTTTACTAGAAAAGAGAGAATTTTTCACTAGCAAGAGCACAAGATCAGACCAGGCCAACAGAGAATATATATGTCAAGGCAACAAGGGGGCTGACAGAACCTCAACGAGAAAGGTGACAAAACAGACCCCGCATTACACCAAGTAGGTTGGCCAGATAATGAGCGATTGAATAGCTGATAACATAGAAATTACTGTAGAGAGGGTAAGACAGAGGACTGTAAAGAGCTGAGCAACGGGCCTAAAGAGGGGGTGGGAAATTCTACAAAATATAGGTGCAGAGAGCGTGAAGTGAGAATGGCGGACAAGTGGAGATTCCCCGTCCGGGACGCAGGGTGAGGATCCAGGTGGACTCGGGGGTGAGTGAGGGTGGATCGGGGCCGCAAGGGAGGTGAAGAGTAAGAGAGCGGCGGAGTGAGGTCGCTCTGGAAAGGCCAGAGGGTTTGAAATTTATACGGGCGGTTTAGCTGCGGTCAGCGGCGCCAACCCCAACCGCAAAAGGGACGGTTGTTTTTCCGCAGCGGGGAAGGGCCATTTCCCGCCCGGGAGCCCTCAAAAGCAGATAACAACAACAACGACACAACGACAACAACAATAATAGAAGAATATAACAGTAACAGTCCCTCATGTGTCTGAGCAGGACCCCAAGAGCAGCTACATATCATCTTCGTCATCATCTGTGCTAGTTTGTCAATAAAACCCGGTTTCCTCAAGTAAGCCCCACTATGGACCGCACATAGGTCTCATGCAGCAATGTATCCAGTCCGCCGTCATGTCAAGAGCTGTCAGTGGCGTTCCATCCATGGGTGCCAGGCCAATGCCAGAGTCCAGGAGAAATATGCATGTGCCAAGTAGTCCAGGCGAAGCGGAAGATGGATCAGGGTAGTAGATATTCTACACTTCAGGTTCCTTTTGATTGAATAGTTGAGATGAATACTTTGTTCAACACATTCTATTGGCAGCAGTCGCTAGCAAGTCTGGCGTTGAGGTTCATCCCAGACACTGGCTGTTAGCTGAATAACATAATAGAAGTATAGGGTAAATCGCCGATGATGTGGACGTGCATCGGATGGGTTTCAGAAGAGATCTTGAATCTGGATACGTCAGAAGATAATATCAAATCAAATGTAATAGTTTATTAAGTCTGGCGACAGCTGTTACGCCTAAATAATCTTGACTGTCTTTTCAGAGGAAGATCCATAAGGCTTTTTAGCCACGGCCGAGGTTCCCCAATCCGCACCCAAACCCTGTGTTTTTTCGCCTCCCCGACAGTTTGGAAACATTCCAGACTGAAAGGCAAACAGTTCGATGCTCATCTAGCAACTGTTCTGTCCGAATTGTGAATCGGCCTGCCTTTGACCCTTCAACATTTGACAGCCTTCTCTATTTATTTACTGATTGGAGATTGATTTATCGCCTCTCTGCTCTTGCAGTGATTCTTACTTCGTCGTCGTGTCGACTTGCCCCTCGTTTTGCTGCTGCCCTCAAAATCCAAGGGATAAAACTCCTTAAACTAGCTAAGCTCGACTTGGCCCGCAATTTCTCATCGTTCCGCAAGCCCCTCTTCTCTCAACCTTTCATAACATCCCTACCAGCGCTACGGAGTTTTTCTTGCCACGAAATAACCATTAAACGCTTCGAATTTCAATCCGCCAATAATCCCTCCGGAGGCGACAGCTTCCTTAGCCAAGAATCTCAAGAAACCTCACTCGTTCTTCTCCCTGGCCAAATCTGTAATAAGTATTCAACCATCGGCTCGCATTTTACTTCTATATTGGTGATAACGAAAAGTACGATATCTGCACCTATTTTCCGTTCGCCTATACTCACCTTTTGCCTCTTTACTCCTCTTTCACGACTTCACGACGGCTTATTTCCCGTAGCTGAGAGTTATGGATCAGTGCAAGATGGCGGAGTTTGTTCGCGCTCAGATTTTTGGCACCACTTTCGAGATCACAAACAGGTATGCAAATAACTTGCTCAAACTTCTCATACGATTTCAATTATCTATCGAATTTCCTTGAGGACCAAATTTTGATAGAACCGTTTATTAGATACACTGATCTTCAACCCGTGGGAATGGGCGCCTTTGGACTTGTCTGGTAGGCAGAAACCCCCGCATCACATCACCACATCGTCTCTCCGAAGCTCGACATTGGGGAATGGGAGGGGCTTGCTTAGCAATAACAATTTAGAATACAGGGAGTCAACCCGCTGATAGATCATTGTATAGCTCAGCAAAGGATCAATTGACCGGGCAGGCCGTTGCCGTGAAGAAGATCATGAAGCCCTTTAGCACCCCCGTTCTCGCAAAGCGAACATACAGAGAATTAAAACTGCTCAAGCATTTGCGACATGAAAATGTTTGTGCCATTACAATCCGGGCTTATATCGTTCCTATGCTAACAGTTTTGTAGATTATCAGTTTGAGCGACATTTTCATCTCACCCCTCGAGGATATGTATGGATCATCTCCCCTCTAAGATTTGGTTGACCACTTGCTTACGAACCCTGTTTATAGATACTTTGTTACAGAACTTCTTGGGACAGATCTACATAGATTGCTCACCTCACGGCCACTTGAAAAACAATTCATCCAATACTTCTTGTACCAGATCTTGGTATGTTCTTTTGCTATAATTGGCTTTTGCCATTCACCAATGTTAATCAATCCTATGTTAGAAATGTCCGGCTAACTTGCGTACAGCGAGGACTGAAATACGTTCACTCCGCAGGCGTGGTCCACCGGGACCTCAAGCCAAGTAACATTCTCATTAATGAGAATTGCGACCTTAAGATCTGCGATTTTGGCCTTGCCCGTATTCAAGATCCCCAAATGACCGGCTACGTATCGACGCGATACTACCGTGCGCCTGAAATTATGCTTACCTGGCAAAAATATGATATTGAGGTGGATGTGTGGAGCGCTGGATGCATCTTTGCAGAGATGCTGGAAGGCAAACCTCTGTTCCCGGGAAAGGACCACGTGAATCAATTTTCTATTATCACGGAGCTGCTGGGAACTCCTCCAGATGATGTGATTGAAACCATCTGCAGTGTCAACGTATGTGGACCCCTACAATACTCCAGGCCGTTTTATTTCACTCGGATTGCCTGACTGGATTATAGACATTGCAGTTTGTCCAGTCCCTGCCCAAGCGGCCGAGACAGCCCCTGAGCAACAAATTCCAGAACGCAGACCCTCTTGGTATGAAATCATATTCCTTTGAGCGACCATATCCTTTGCATCGGAACACTGGACAGATTGTTACACAACTGCTAATTGATAAAAAAAAAAATACAGCCATCAGCCTCCTCGAGCGGATGCTGGTTTTCGATCCGAAGAAACGAATCACTGCCAGCGAGTCCCTTTCACACGAATACCTCTCCCCCTACCACGACCCAACCGACGAGCCAGTAGCCGACGAGAAATTCGACTGGTCTTTTAACGATGCCGACTTACCAGTTGATACGTGGAAAATCATGATGTAAGTAATCTTTTGGTCTGATTTGGCCAGCTCAGCCAAGACTAGAGCGGTCTGGCGGTCTGGCGGTCTGATAGTTTCCATTCCTGCCAAGATAAATATCCTTCTCCCCTGAGAACAGAAGTATCTAATCTACTCTTGACATTCATTTAGGTACTCTGAAATCCTTGACTACCACAACGTTGACCAGCTAATGCAAGATCCTAACAACCAACTGCCTCTCGATGCTGCTGCCGGGGATGTGGTATCGCATAGTATGCTGAATGTGCTGAAACGAGAGAAATAAAATTTCGAAGAGATCAACAAATGAACAACTGCGAAGAAGAAACAAACAGAGGTTGGGAGATTTGAAATTGATTATGGCTTTCTCCTGCTGGCATAACTCATTGATACATTCATCCGCCTTGCTCCCTGAGAAGGAAATACTGGATTTGAGCATAACGTTTCTATTCGACGGTTTTAGCCTATCACCGCCTTTTTTCTTTTGCATTTCCCACTTTTTGAACGACTATAACTTTTCTCCTACGTTGGGCCCATATTTTTGTTTTCATTTTTCATCATGATCTCCTATTTAATCTCATCATTTACGGTGGAGGATAGGGTTGCAAACCACATTTTTGCCTCCATAACCATCCCAGAACCGAATTCTTTTGATGTATTGCCATGATGCTTGATGGTACCCTTTTACAACGCATATTCAACGTTTTTATTTTGATATGGAGCATCATGTTAAATATGTACCCTTTCATTTTGTCCCACGTTTTATGACCTTTCACACATTCGTACCTGAACTTTCCTCGCTGTCTTTTTTCTTCTTGGGTGGCTTGGCATATTCCGTCTTTTTATCTTGATTTCGTATATCTCAACCCCTCGTGGCCTGCCGGTCAGTCTGGCTGAGATTCTTGATTGGCTAAAGGGCAGGAGGAACGGCTTGCAATTGGAAAGGCGTTGGCCCAATTGGAAACTTCGTGAGACAGCGCAATCGGCATCGTCAATTTCTATTTTCTCCTATGAAAACTATAGCTGCTTCACCTTACCCACAATACCTACGCACAAACCCTGAAAGTGAAATGGCTTTTTTCCCCGTTCAATATTCTCCTTGCGAGGTCTATATCCATGCTCGACGAAAGCACCGGCCGTCCTACCGTTTTTTGTCGACATGGATGGATGATGTAAAAAAGATACGATTTGTAAATAGCATTTTAGGTAAATGTTAATAGATAAGGCAGATGCGAAAAGAATAGAAAGCTCAGAGATATCCATATCCATATTTTTAACATTGCCTCCATTTTGTAACCCTTCAGACGAAATATCAGGTTGGCACGGCCCCCAAGAGTTGGAATATAAACACGTGACTCTTTCCGTTAACGGGCAGCTCTCCGTGACAAGGATCCATTGAAGTTAGTTAAGCTCTCGAATCTTCAGTCCAACCTCCGAGATCAACAACAATATCCCAACGCTGAACTCCCCAAAAAGCCCTGTCCCCCAATGGGTTAACAACATTGCTGCTAGTTGATATCCACTATCTGGAGTCCTTCCTTGCGTATTTCCTAGCCGCCGCTATTATAGTTAAGTTTTTCCTCCCTCGCCGGTCAGTGGGCAGTTAATATCAATCAACAAAGAGCGTACCCCGAGGCTGCGGCTGAGACGAGGACGTGCAGGAATAATAAAGAGGGGAAACAAAGGTACAAAATTATACGGCTTAAAGGGTAAAGAAGAAAAATGCGACATAGCAAGAGCCGGGAACCCATTATATTGGTTATTGATTTTCATCATGCGAGGTTAGTTTGCTCTCTGTGTATGGAATGCACACTACAGGATGGGCTGAGTTAGGGGGAGGGTCGGCGAAAGTCATATACATCTATATACTGCCTTCATGAAATTCCAATTGCCTCGCTCCCTACCAAACTTCTGTCCGTTTAATTGCCAACTAACTTGGCTTGGACAATGGATGCAGAGGCCCCGAAGTCCAGTACTGTTTCTGCCAAGAAGGCACCGACATCTTCGTGAAGAATGACTGGTCTCTATTACCATTTATGGCGCTGTCAGATGGGGCGCATGCGTACGTTTCCCCCTACATACACACGCATACCTCTTTGCCACCCCTGTCGTCTTTTTTTTTTTTTTTTTTTTTTTTCTTTCCCATACCAAACCGTGCCTCCACTAACAATATTCTCCAGATCCACCGAAGACTTCTCATATTTTACCCTGCAACAAAGTGCAACAGACTCGGAGCATGCTACCTCTCTCTTTGGCATATCATGCACACGCCAGATAGATTCAGCATTACTGATCAATCGACCTCCGGAAGTGACGAGATCAACGGTCCAGAAGGCGATTGTGGCGGTTATTGATGAGCCCAGGCAGTTTGGGCAGTTGAGGCAGAAGTTGTCCATGGTGACGTCGGCTTGGTTTGCGCAGAGGTATGATCTTTGGTGGAGGAGGGAGCTTAAAAGGAATTTGTTAATGGGGGCCATTTCCTTATGAAGGGCACTCTTGGGATATGAGAGATTGGGGTAAAAAATAAATAAATAAAAATACCTCCGTGTGGAGATTAAGGAGGAAATTCCCTTTTGCTAACATACTTTTGGCCGATGTTAGGGATTTTTCAGATACGGATATTTTAAAGGTAGAGATAGTCCCTGTATTACCTCTCCTCTAGGAATAGCGACTCACAACCTCCATCGGAATGCAGAAATTCCAGGAAAGCCTGACGGAGAGTTTAAATAATGAGGAAGGCCAGAAGGAGGAGTATCTTGGTGAGTGGTTCTAGTTCATCTTACGGCCGGAGGCTTTATTTTCTTTTCTAATTGTTTTTAAGGACTTTCATTACGAGAAATGATTCACGAATTTAAACACCAGACTCTGGTTCTATTTAAATGCCTTTTATTACAGCCAAAAGTACTTCTAACTATTGATTACTCCACCTCTCGAGTTGAGAGTTGAATCCAAGCACATTGCTTACTACCCACTAGATGCTTTTCTTTGGCACTCGCTGCGAGCGACTCTGCATGATCCAATTCTCCCTTATTTCCTTGATACCTGGTCTTATCCACCACCTTGAAGATTGCGCAGACCCATCCTTTGATACCTATGCACAGTCTGTTGTGAAACCTACGTCTCTCAAAACGAGCGAGAGAAGCTCATGTAGGCCTCTTCAGAAGTTGACATTATCTGTATGCGCTTATTGACAGATTCTTAGTACTTGCATATATGGGATTACCTCTACAGATCTTCGGCAAGGTTTGCTTCCTAGCCCTCCCTATTACCCCTTTTTCGGTTGAAGCTCTGTTCTAAGATTGTGGTCAGGGAAGCATGTTTGGTCCCTATACGCCGCTTCAGCTCCTAGATCTACTTGCCGATTACGGCACGAAATCGTATGTCGTGGGGTCCACAAATTCCCTGCTTTTACAACAGAAGGACAGGTACAGTGATATACTCATTAACGTAAGTATTTTAGTTAAACTATGAGTTATTTATGGTATTGGTATTAAGTATTCGCAGCTCGACGAAGATTCTATCAATATCTCCTCACCATCTTTACGATCCGCCCTTTCACTCTCTGTAGCTGATAGGAGATGGATCGATTTCCTCACACAAACAATCTACGAAACATGGGATGACGCCCACCCAGAACGGCCTAAAAGTCATGGGTACTTAGGCTCTGAAGAATTTATTCGTCTTCAATTCGAAGAATATCTATTAGCCCTTCTTTCATGTGAAAAGTACCACAATGAAGTTCATAATGGTTCCTGGACTCCATCGCCAGGCTTAGATATTGAAGGTGACCCTGCATCAGAATTTGGCACAGAGTTCCTCGAACGATGGCGGACCACGTCGAACTATGCTCTATTCAATCGCCTCACATCTGACTCCCATCTCTTTTCTATCGTGGAACCCCGTCATCCCTGCGCTGGAGCCCTTGGTCTTGACGACATCCAAAGACGATTAGCCCAGCAAGTAGCTGAACTACACCTGGATGAAAGAGTGCGTGAGGGTCGAGAGGCTCTCAACAAGCACCTTGCCACGAGTCAAAGAAAGGTCAGCTCAGTATTCAACAGTTTATGGGCTGACATCGAGATCATACGAGAAAATCAGCGTAAGAGGAGTGACGAAAAATCCCAACAACGCACATCATCTGAACTACCATCTACGGATAAAGAGTCGATAGTCTCTCCACGAATATCGATTTCATTAAATAACAACCCCGGTTCAGGATCATGGACATTTGGCGCTCGAAAGCCACCCGCAGTGGATCTTGGTCAGGCACAAGCAACCGTTGCTGCGGCCGGACAACGTGCATCCGCCTATTTGTCCTCCTGGGGCTCGTGGGCAAACGATCGACGCAAGGAGTGGCAAGAGAGAAAAGCTAGCGGTAATTTCAATACCACCGCTTCGTCTCCTACTACGTTAGCTTCTCGCCAAATCTTACCCGTCACGGCTGCCACGACTTCCAAGAACCAGGGAGAGTCGGGAAGTCGAGGCCGTGAGAAAGGTCCCAGTAACGGACACGGTTCTAGAAAGTCTATGTCTAGTCTTAGCAGGAGCCTAAGTCGCAAGAAGAGATGGAGCAGTCTGCTACAGAGGAGTAGCGATATTCGCACCTCTGATGCGGAGATTAATGATAATAATCCTACTAATAATGACGATAATAGCATTGGTGGTAATAACGCAGGAAGCCCTCGAGGAAGCCGTGAATTATGGAGGAGCGACAGTAATAATAACGATAATGATAACAATAATAACAGCAATAGCTCTAATGCTAAGGCCACCGTGTCGAAGCGCGATCCTTCGTTATCTGAAACACCACTCGAAACGGTGTCTACAGACACAGGTACAGCTCAAGAGACACCCCCCGGCGGACTGTCACCAATACTCACAACGGCCGACAAATTACAGTAAAATAACCAGCCATCTGAACCCGCAATTTCCCCATTCCATCTCGATGAATGGATCCCTTTTCAACTATTGGAATATCGGGCAGTACGCAGTTGCCGTCGAACTAAGCTCGTGTTTGTTGGGCTAAGGAGCAGGGGTTGCGTGGGACTAACAATGAGATTTATCCTTTTATTCTTCCACTTCTATGACCATTGGCGTTTATTTGCCATTTCTCTTGTCTTCTTTTTGGATGGCAGGGTTGTATTATGATGTTTCCCTTTGAAAACAACGAGATATCCAATACCCCCCCCCCCCCTTTTTTTTTTTCTTTTTTTCTTCATTTTCATTTTCTTTTTGCGCCCCTGTGAAGGCTATGTGATGCATTCTTATGAGGGAAAATGTCCTAGTAACTAATTGAAGGTACATGCCAAGCCTTTGGCGCATTCTAACAGTTCCAATGCTTCTTTTTCCTCAAATGCAGTGGGATTCCTTACGTTGTCCTGCTTGCTGTTCTTCCTTTTCCTTCTCATTTCATTTCAAGGCCAATTTTGTTTATCTTTAACGTGTTTTCTTTTTTATTATTTATAATCTTTGGGGAACTATACTTCTGCCTATGCATAGTTGCGATTAGTGCTTTTGTTTCATGATGGTAATGATGAGTTTCATTGGAATTTTTCATGGGATTGATTTGATTGAATCACTCTGTCTGTGGCCTTCATTTCCTTATGTTTTTCGTAAGTGCCTCTCTGCCATCTTGCACCTCTTGTTCCACATATCAAATTTTTTAATTCTTGTTTCATGCTGTCATCATATTTTCAATTCTAGTGCAACTACTTCTTCAATAATGCTGCATTGAATACAGGCTGATGTATGTAGTTAAGTTCTTATGAATTTAGTTTATAAGATTTTCTCTTGCGTCACATTCTTTCTATTGGAAGAGTGGTGGTGATGAAGGAGAGAAATCACTTGCTAATGATGCAACACACCACACTCAGAGACTTTTAACAAAAGCCTTACTGAGATGAATGTCCCCCTTCCCCCTCCCTTTCTCTCTTGATTCTGGAGCTATACATGATCAATAGGATTAAATGACTTGTAGAAGTCACCACCAGTCTTCTTGCACTCATTCCCAATTTCATTTTGTCACCTCTGTAACAATTCACTTCTAGTCTTTCCGTCTTTACACAATTCTTTCCTTGTCAGACTGCTTGCTCTTAAAATATATATCTCCTCACATAAAATTTGATTGTCATTTCCTCCACATCCCCGTCTGTTCGTTAACTTTTCTTTTCAATATCTTTCTTTGTTTTCAAGGTACTACGCAATATACGCCAAATCGTCCCCATCTAGGCGTTCAATATACTCCTTCTCCATCAACGCTTCGATGTTCCTCTTGATATCTGGTACCTTGGGCGGGAATCGGGCTTTCACCTGCTGAATAACCTCCTGCACTAGTTGTACATGTTTCATCTTCTTTCGCGATTTCATGATACGCACGATCGCTGACTGCAACATAAATATGTTAAAAATAAACATAAAAGACAAGAGAAAGCTGAGGGAAAGGACGACAGGATAAAACTCACCTGAAGCAGAAGCTTCCGGTCCTCATCAATGGTCTTATGCGTATCATCCGTCTCATGCTTCTGTTCCGACTTCACCGAAATATTAAGGTTGACCTTGATCTTCTTGGCCTTGAAATTGTAGTTCAACGTGTATGAGGTTCCGACACATGGCTTGCCGTTCTCAGGTGACGGTATGACTACCTTAGCCTTGACTAGGATACCAAGGTTCGGTTCAAGAACTTCCGGCGCGAGAGCGGTGGCCTTTTCAATGTCTGAAAAGCTCAGAGTGTCGCTTTCGTTGAAGAGAAGGAGGATTCCCATTTGGAACGTGGATACCTGGAATGTATATGGAACTTTTGTGTTTTTGATGTAGTTGGCACGGATTTCGCCCTTGCATAGATTCCATAGCCAGGTAAGTTTGCGGCCGCTGTGTTTGTCGAAGTAGAAATTTTTGAATCGCTCTGTCGTCTTGACGATTTCTTGCGGGGGGATGAACTGGGTTGTTGGAGCTGTAAGGGGCCAAAATCCTGTCCCAAGGATTTGGAAATGAGGGTCCACTGATTTTTTCCTGTCCTCCTCGTCCATGACCTTTTCCTGCCAGTCTCGGTAGCTGGCGTTGAGATCCTTGGAGATTTGGATATCTTGGAACATTCGCTGGAGTTTATTAGTGTACTCGAAGCCGCAGGCCTCTTTCAGTTTGCTGATCATGCTAGTTTCTGCATCATCAGAAACAGAACTGACATGGACAAGACGCTTGGCCAGCATTCTAGAATAAAACTTCTGGAAAACGTCTTTGTCTTCAATATATTTAAAAACGGTCATGATCTGCACAAGCATCTCTTCTAATTCCGACTCCTCAGGAGATTTGACTCCCTTTTTCAGCAAGGAATCAGTATATCGAGCGAGAAGTTCAGGAGACTTGGTTGAGCTTGTGTTGCAAAGTGCATTACGATTGACAAATTCCCGACATGCATTATCGAGCGAGCGGACAAATTCCGATTCTCCAGCAAAAGCCACATTCACCATGGATTGATATTTGGTGTGAACTTGTAACAGTGCATCGATGTAGAGCTTAGGTTCAACAGCATCACCGTTTGGTGCAACCTTTTCAACAGCCGCAAGGCCAGCCTTCCGAACATGTGTCTCGAATTTGTTACGCAGGGGGTCTAGTCCGTCCCTAATCCGAGAAAGCAGTCGATACATACGTGCAAGATCATCTTCCCGTTCGGTGTCCAGAAGAACTTGGAATTCATCTCGCAATAGAGGTGAGTGTGCCGCCACAAGGACATCCAAACACGTGTCCGTGAGATTTTTAGTAATGTCGGGATGGAGGTACAGGTCCACCCGGGCCCGTTCTTCTTCGAGGCGAGCCTCTGCCTTCTTCATATACTCAACGACACTGTTTTCAGCTACAAACCGCTTCGACTCATTCTCGTAGTAGACCCTGGTTGCCTCAATGAAGGGCTTTTCGAAATAGAATTGGTAGACAACAAGGGTGGATTTAGTGCTGTCATTCTCGTCGAGCCCGAGAGACACGAACGAGTTTACAATGTTTTTAATCTGGGACTGTTCGATGGTTTCCCCGTTACGTTGCTTCTCGATCAGCTTCAGGACAGCATCCATTACACTCTTCTGCACTTTCTTGAAGAAGTCTTCTCTCCATTTCACCAGATGAAGGATATAGACGTCGTAGATATCTTTCTTCCCTTCGTCAACTTCTCTCTTTACCCAGTGACGATTGAGATATTTGAAAAGATGGTTGATATATTTTGCCGCAGTTGTGTAACGACTCCATTCTCGGATGTAAAAGGTCAATAGAGCTTCGTCGGAATGGCCGAGAGAGGCTTCATAGACGTCATTGAGATGACGGGAGAGGTATATGCCAAGGAGGTTATATAGTTCCTCCCCGAGAAGGTGAGCTAGGAATTTTTTTAAAAAAAAAAAATTAGCAAGCTTGGCAGTCAAAGTTCAGGCAATAATTCAGGACCTACCTCCACGATGTGCACCTTGGGAAGATGGGGTACTAGGTGACGAGATAGCCTTTTGTGATGTACAGAAGTTGTGCACGGCCCTATCCACGTTGTTAGCTTAGAATGATCCTCTGCTGCCTTCCTATGGTAGCGCGCATTACTGACGTATAGACTCCCATATACTAAGAGAGAATAAGACCAGTTAGCATAAATCCAAGAATTCCGGAAATAACAGGTCAACACCAACCGTAAGCATATCAATACCACCCTCCAGTTGAGTCATCACCCGCTCAACTCCCTTTTCAAGATATGCCCATCTGCCTTAAGTCAGCCCGCTGATTTCCGAGTCCTACTTGTGAATCCCACGCGTTTATTGACGAGCAACACTCACGTTTCTTCAAGGTCATCTTTATGCGGAGTCTGGATCCCTGAAGGAGGCATGGCTGCACTCTCAACCTGTACTGAGACTGGGCTGCGTGATAGACGGCGTATTAGTTTTGGGTAAGTCAACCTCATCGATGGAGGGGCGGTTTGGAATTATCGACGTCAGGATTTGGAAAACAACCTGTCTGTTAGCCGGGGGGAGACAGGGTCTGGGAGGGCTGGGTGGCAGTTGATTGGGGGGCGTAACCGCCGGTGGTTTGGACGATATGCTGTCACTGCTTCTTTAAAAAGGAAAGGAGCGCTTGTTGAAACAAAACGGGTGTTGGTGAGAGAAAGGCCGCCTGCCTTTGAATTCAAAATGCAAAACAGGGGGGGAATTAGGTAAAAGCAAAGAGAGTAAAACGAGATGGTATGCATGAACGAAGAAGAGGGAGAAGTATGAGCGTATGAGAGTATAAGAAGGAGTGCATGAGCAGGAGAGTATGAGTATGATGGTATGCCATAGGCTGCGGTGGTTGAATGTTTACTTGGTTATAAGATGATGGCGAAGGCAGAACAGCCAGGAGGAAGGGAGTATTAGGTAAGCCACCGGTGGGTGGTGTTGGAGGCTGAGGGAAGAGCCCCTAGTCTCGACGGGACTTGGCGTGTTGTGTCTGGATCTCTGATCGATAACCAATTAGATAGTTAAAGAAACCGGGGTTTATACAATGAAATATATTGACGGACAATGTTGATTGTATCCTTGGGATATGATCTTGAGTAAAGTGGATATGTAGTAGCAGAAAGTAGAGGGAAATTTATTCGACTGCCGTACAGCATGCCTCCCGCCGTCAAACCCACTCTCCGCTCTCCAAATAACCCGCCGACCAATTTCACCGTGGCATCGTAACCCCAACACTTCAATCCAGCACAAACCCCTCCTCATATACCATATACCACAGCTCCTTCCAGCCTTCCACCTCTGCCTCAGAAACCAGCCACCATCTAACCTAAACCGGCGCCGTGGAATCCCAATGGACCTGCTCCATGCGTCTCTACAGCCACTTCCCCTCCAACAACCCGCGAAGTGTTAAGCACAGTCTCCGGAAGAGCTAATCTATGTTTCGGCCATAAGGATAACCCCAGAGAGATTCGAGGCTGTTGTTTCCAAGGAGGATGTCCTTGTTGTTCCTGCCAGGGCGGTGCTAGGCCGCTGGAGTGTATCGATGGTAGGTTTAAGAGGGTTGGCGCCTACCCGCCGCGGCAGGAGTGGGATATGTGCTATAGGATGGGAGAGGAGGGGGATAAGGCGGTAGGGATTGGGAAAGTGGGTTGGTTTGAGAAGGATCCTGTTTATGGTGATAAGGGTCCTGTGTTTGATGTATGATTTTGGATGCATTATATGGATCCAGTCATTTTATTGGTCTGTATGAATGCGTAACATAATAGTCAAAAGAGATTGGGACGTGAGGGAAACATAATGAAATTCATGCTTGAGTGCATGTGAAGTATGTACAAAGATAGAAGCCTGGGATGAAAAGAAATGGCTTGATTGGAACTGAAACTCTGTTTCTTTTAACCATCTGAGATCTCGCAAAACTGGTAAAATATGAGGAATAACAAGAAAATTGGGGATTGGAAAAATGAAGAGAACAATATCAAAAAAAAGAAATTGGCCAAACACATTGGTATACGTACAGTCCAAGTAAGAGAAAGACAATATGGGGTAGCTTCGAACACAAAAATATTAAAAAGGAGATAATAAATGATAGCCAGAAGAGAATATTCGTTTATGGGAGAAAAATTAATAAAATGAAAATGAGAGAAAATTTTACTTGGCGACTGCTCGCTCCACAATTCTGGATATGTTTGTTAGCATATATCCCGTTCAATGAAATAGTAAAGGGAAATATAGAATGGAATAGGTAATATACCTTAGAGCACTGATCGCGAACGTCATAAGCCACGCTATTAAAACGATCAGCAACACAGAAGCCAACGCCTTCTGTCTCTCGCAAAGAATGTCGTTACGAGGGACAAGAATTTTGTCTACTTCCCTTGTTGTACAAGCACTCTGAACATTAGACAAGTTCTCAAACGCCAGACTTAAATTGGCCGACGCAAAGACGATGAAAAACAAGTCGAGGAATATAAGCTTTAATTTGGCCTTTGCTGGCCGCAAGCCCAAGGGTTTACCCGTGTATTCATCGTATGTGATGTAAACCAGATACACCAGCGCGACTGCGTCGACTATAATAGCCATGTCGGGAGATGTGCCTTGAGGTTGATTAGATTCCGTGGCATGGTGACGGATAGAACCGCCCAAGGCCAGGGCGACCACCGAAAACACGAAGACTGCGAGGCGGATAAGAAGAGGGACGATTGGGCTTCTCAGAATTTTGGACTGGGCGCGTTTGACCCATCTCCTCTTGCGTTGTTTGGAACCCAAAGCCTGTCCGCTTTCCGGATCCTTTTCGTTTAGATTAAGGCCCTGCCAGGGTTCTGAATAATCTCCCAGGTGCTCATTGAGCCAGTCTTGGTCGACGAGCTTCTCTTGGAGGTCTGTCGAACGCGGGTATGTGGTTAATCGGGCAAAAGTCTTCCATCTCGATTTGCGAGGCTCTGTCATCGAATAGTTGTAGTAGGTAAAGGAATCTCGCTGATTCTCGTGTGGAGAAAAATTGTGTTGGGCAATGCGTGCGTTTGCAGGTTGGAGAGGAGCGGTAGGGGAATGGGAAGATAAGTCAGTGTCATCGTCCGCAAGTCTTACCCATGCTGTGTAGTGGAAGTGCGAATGTTAGAATCCCTTTCTAGCCAGTTAAGGAGTTTTGAATTGGGACGGGCTTGCCTGGGATAGTTCTTGCAGTGGGCAGCTGGAGTCGAGACTGGGCTGCAATGATAATCTCTCTCGATGGCGCCGCGTTGTTAGGCTGATTGGAATTTTGATCCTGCAGGCATCGAACTCCGGAGACGCCCTCCTCGAAACCTACACTTGAAGACGCGACTGAGGTTCCTGATTTCCGCGGAGAAAGGGATTGGTCGTCCAGCGACAGGTCCGATTTTCTTGCGGGAGATCCACCACTTTGCGCATCCAGGGGCTGGGGACGCAAGAGGGAATCTCCATATATTGCCATCGCCTGGAATTAGATCCTTGCCCAAGGCGTGGCTGAGGTTGCTGGTGAAAATCAATGGGCCAACCTGTTGATCCGTTCCATCATTTTTGGCCGCAAACGACGGTAACGTAACTATACTTGTATCGAGAGACGGAATTCGGGGAAGAAATGGAAAAGTGAAAGAGAGACAAATAGACGTAATATGGTTAGACAGGAAACCGTTGTGCAGTGGGAATGAAGAAGGTTGTTGGGAGAAGAACGGAATGAATCGTGTTCAGCTCCGTTGTCGTCGCCCTCCGCCCAAAAGGAAAGCGCCAAGCCAAAAACAGCCTCCACCTAAATTACAATTGCCAGGGTAGAACCGCATGCTTTGTTGATTACGAATGACGTCTCGTCTACTTCCAGGTTCCAGACTGCGCCTCCACCTCACGGCATCAACAATACAATCAACTCGACAGTTTTCACCACCCCCTCCTAACCGCAGTGCTCTATAGCTTGAAAATGCTCGTTCAAAAGGCTACTCGGAGCCTCCCAAAAATATTCCAAGCTTGTTGATTTACTTCTGATCACCACAATTCTTGGAAACCATTTATCCACTTCCCGCACCTTTGCGATGCGGCTCTATCTCGTCCCTATCTCCACAGGGCGATCTCTCCTTTACTGCAAAAGAGCCAATACACAAGCTGCGAAGGAGCTGAGCCGTATTGACAGGATCACCGAAAAGGCATCTGCTACCTGGGCGGGGTGGGAGGAGGCTGATAAAGGCTGGAGAAAGATCCTCGTTGCCTATGGAAACCGTGTGCTCCAGCGAATACCTTACGAGGAATGGGGCCTCAAGAGCGTGCCACCGTTGAACACGAAGAGGGAGACTGAGGAGCTGGAAAGACATACCCAAGTTCCGTTGGTCTTCCCGAAAAATGTCATTAAGGAGAGCAAGGTGCTAGACCTTCTCAGAAAGATGGCTACTGAACGACAAAGTTTACACCGGAGCAGGATGTGGTGGAGTATTGCTATTGCGCCGCTGACGGCCCCTATCGCCCTCATACCTCTGTGAGGATTCCTCTTGGGATGCGACTTTCCATGGCGCTACTCCACGAAACCTCCGCTGACTTTTGTTTTATTCTGATACCCCCAGTATTCCAAACGTCCCATTCTTCTACTTTGTTTACCGTGGGTGGTCGCATTGGAGAGGTAAGTTGCCCCAAGGAAATTATATTTTCCGTTCAGCAAGCCATTTAATAACAGGGCCGAACTAGCATTGAGCGGCTCAAAACACCTTTGCTTCTTACTTGATAACAAACTCATACATCCCACATCCCTCCCGGCTTTGGAAAGTCACTATTCCAAAAATCCGGCTTTTAACGAAAAGGATTTTTCGGGGACAAATTCTGGGAACGTGAACTCAACCGAAGTTATCCTGTTAAAGGAGTCAGATGGCAAGAAGCTGGCGAAAATCCTGGGTCCTCCTGAGCTTGCTGCGGAGGTGGAGAGGGCCGTGGGTCAAGTAAAACATTTTTTCAACCAGAATAAACAACAGTGATCTGGAATCGTTGTGATCACACGCGCATATTGGGCTTGGCCCTGCTCGGTCCTGAATCCACTTCGATTTATTCAGGTCGCCTCCATCCCCGTCCCGTGATCATGTGCCGGAGTCAACATTTGCAGATCTCTGTCATTTGCTTGTTCTGCAAGCCATAGATTTTTTACAACAATTTTCTTTCTTGTTCAATCGTTTTTCGATTTATCTGTAAGATAAAATAGAGCGACGATGCCGGTTGGGTTTCATGCCACGGCATCTGCAGGATTTGTAAAGTAGATATGTTTCTTTGCTCCATTTGTCATACATTACCCTCTTACATGTGGTTGAACCACTTCCTAAGTTCTCATTCTGGTCTGCTCCAAATCATCATATTCGTGCCAATTGTCAGAGTGATTAAATGAGTCACATATTTCCTTACATCTCACCAGGTCAAGACATCTAAGTGTTCTAACCGAATATATGGTAGAAACTGGTTTCCCAAGAACTAATATATTTCCTTTTTGATATACGTCTTGCCCTTGCTTTAATTTCCTTTTTTTGGGTTTAATGCGTTTTTCCCATGGGTGAACCAAAGAAATTCTTAAGATGCACCGCACTCAAAATATGTAGATTAATTGTTACTTAGCACTATGGCTAGCACCATTCTCTTCTCTGAATATAAACCCTAATGACTTGAGCTCTTTCATCTTTAATGTATCTATAGTATATATAAGTTATGTAAGATGTTACCGGTTTGGAGATATCGGATTATGGAAATAGGGATGGTAGTTATGCGGTATAGAAATCTAAAAACAAAAAAAATTGAACCATTGAGCATTGACTAAATATAATGACAACTTTCTTCATGAACTGCCTCAACTGTAGCCATCATCAAATACAAATCTTCATCAAAATTACAAGTTGTCGTTCTCCATTTTGTTCGAAGCTGAAGACATTCAGGGGCACTGCCACAGGATGTGCGGGAGAATATTTTCTCCGACAGCCGCCCGCCAAACGTCACTTCTATCATTAGCGCCAACAGATGAACTAGACAACATCTCATCTTCATTCTCAGCACAGTTAACCACTGCCACATGCTTCGCCTAGCCTTTCCAGCATGTCTGAGAAGAGAATAGAACAGTGGGAACTCGAGCGATACTGGGAGATTTTCTCCTCGCTTTCCAATGGCCACCCACACCTCAACAACGCGCAAGCCGCAACAGTCTTGAGAAACAGCCGATTAAGAGATAACCAGCTGGAGAAGGTATGGGATTTGGCAGATGTTGATGGAGACGGAGAGCTGGACTTTGAGGAGTTTTGTGTTGCGATGAGGCTTATTTTTGACCTCGTTAATGGAGTATGTTTTCTTTTGATTTTCTTTTCGTGTTTTAAATGGGATGCGCGGGATGCGCATTTTGTTCTGCGGGTTCCCAAAGACATACAAAGTAACGGCTGATATACATGGGGTTCTTGTTGCTTATACGATGATTCTAGGAATACGCCGACGTACCACAGTCATTGCCAGATTGGCTAATTCCGGAGTCCAAAGCACATCTTGTTCAAGCTACACGGGCGCTCTCAGGGAGGCAACCTCAATTTGAACGTGTTGAGGACGATGACGATACACCTGGCCTCAAGGACGGGTTTGACTGGTACATGAGTCCGAACGATAAGTCCAAGTATGAGGAGATATATTCCGCGAACGAACGTCGTGGAGAGATAACATGTATGTATTTCCACCTATCCCATCCCACCCCAACTTTACCCTTCCATGGCTCAAAAGCACTATTAATCATTTCGATTTCCCACTTTTCTAGTCGAATCACTCCAACCCCTCTACGATTCCCTTGCCGTGCCCGATACCGACATCCGTTCCGCCTGGAACCTCGTCAACCCCTCCGCCTCCCCTACAATCTCCAAAGATGCGACCCTCGCCTTCCTCCATATCCTCAACAACAGACACGAAGGCTATCGCATCCCCCGCACTGTCCCTGCCTCCCTCCGTTCTTCTTTCGAATCCAACAAAATCGACTATCAACTAAACAATGCCCGCCCCGCGCAACGATGGGGTGCTGACACTAATGTAGACACCAATACTGGTCGGAAAGCTAAATTTGGGGACGCGTACCTGAGCCGACTAGGGGTTGGTGGGAGAACTACATATCGTCCCCAGGGGACGGATTTTAGCAGCACGATACAAGATGAGGAGTGGGAGAAGGTGCGGTTGCGGCGTGAGCTGGCGGAGTTGGAGAAGAAATTGGAGGCTGCTAATTCTGCCGCGGAGTCCAGGAGGGATGGGCGAAGGGGTGGTGCTGTCAATGGCGGGCCTAATTGGCTGCTTATTAAGAAGGAAGCGCTGCAGATGTTGGAGTATAAGGAGAGGGAGTTGCGGGAGCTGAAAGAGGGGATGGGCCGCGTTAAAGAAGGGGAGAGTCTGGAGAGATTGAGGGAGGATGTGAAGACGGTTGGTGAACAAGTGGATGGCTTGAAGGCGCATTTGGCGAAGCGGAATGAGATTTTGGCGGATTTGAAGGAGCAGATTCGGGAGGAGAAGAGGGGTCGGTGATATGATATGGCGTAGATTGGACATTCCTAAGATCCTCTAATTTTGATACCTGTATTTAGTACATATTTTCCCTTGTCTATCTAAGACCTGTTTTTCTTGTCATGCGTTGGGCATATCTCATGTTTCTTTTTTCTGTGTTTTTGTTTAGCGGAACTGATTTTGGTTGGAAAAAATCGATTTATCCGTCTTTTGTACTGTTGCTCGAGTGTGACCTTTTTAATTGAGGGTAACCTTCTTTTAAGTGTATGACACATAGATAGCTGTCCGATAATTATGGTCCTAATCAGGATTTTTGTTTGGCAAACGTTTAATTGTCTGAAGCGGTTTCTGTGTGCATAGAAGCCCTTTCCGCAGACTTCCCCTATAAACTTATTTCAATCAACCATCCAAATTCCTAAATGAATGCAGTCCACTCTAAAGAGGCCGGCCCGTCACTAAATTCTAAACCAAAAGCATAAACTAATACAAAAGTATACCCCATGATGGATAAGGTAATCTAAGCGTCCCAATCCTTTATCCGGCTACATAGTAGAAATATCGGCAATCATGGCGTCTGCCTCCTTATTAGGCTCCACAGCAAAGAAACTATTACCACCCTTATCCAACCCCTTCTCAGCTCTTTCATACGCCTCATCACTTCGATCAGTCAAGACATCCAAATCCCGCTGTGACAGCAGAGATTCCGGCGTAGACCCCACACCACTACCAACATCCAAGACTTCGAAGCCAGAGTCCCTGAGAACTTTTCGTAACTCTTCCGCTTCAGAGACTGTGGACGACCCCGCAGAACCAGGTTCCAGCAAGCTTTTAAACTTCCCCTTTTGAATAACTAGCTTTTCCAACTTGCGCTTGGAATCTGCTTTTTCAAGAAGTGTTTGTTCCACAGTACCCCTCGTCGCAAGACGGTAGACTATTACGGGTTTCGTCTGGCCGATGCGGTGAGCGCGATCTTGCGCCTGAAGATCTTGTTGCGGGTTCCAGTCCGAGTCGAAGAGGATGACAGTGTCCGCAGCTGTCAGGTTTATGCCCTGGCCACCAGCACGGGTGCTGAGGAGGAATATTCTATAGCTCGGGTCTGTATTGAAAGCAGCGATTTGAGCTTGGCGATTGACCTGGCTGACAGCGCCGTCGATGCGGCAACAGTTCCATCCACGGAGGTACACTGCGTAGTCCTGTAGTATGTCGAGTTGGGTTTTAAATTGGGAGAATATGAGGATTTTGTGGTTTTTGGACATTAAGCAGGGGATCAGGCGGTCAAGGAGGAGCATCTTTCCGGACGAGGTTATGAGGGAGGAGTCAACGCTCGATGGGTCATCATCCCAAGGCCAGTAGAAGTTGTGTGGTGAATTGCAGGCTAATCTGGCCTGCATCACGGGGTTCTGGAGCTTTTTTGAAGCAATTTCCTTTCCTATGATCATAAAATTAGAAAGGAGGGGAAAATGTAACGCAACTTAAGGGGGCACTCTTACTGGCAAGTTGTGCGGTCTTGGCTCTCTCAATTTTATCTAGTTCACTTTCACTTTCTTCCAATTCCTCAGGTTCCGATTCAAGCCCTTGTTCGAGACGTCGCAATCTAGCGTTGAACTCTCGATCGCTAACGTCTTTATAGCTTGGACGAACCCTTGTGCGCCGACCAGAACCCAGAGAACTCCCGGGTGTGGTTTCACGGCTTGATTTCGAGCTCTTGTTCGGGGTGGTGAAACCACTGCTGGAAGCTTTACGTTTTAGGCTTTGGGGTCTTGCGGTCTTCGCAGAACCATTTCTGGCAATGATCCTCTCAGCTGCCTTTCCTTCCAAATATGCCCTGCTTGACCCGTTCATAATTTCAAGATAGAGATCCTTCTGCTCTGGTGTAAGTGGTGCATAGAGCACATATTCTCGCTTCTTAGGTAGAGATGCTTCTACGTCTGTCTTAACTCGTCGTAGCAAAAATGGCTTCAGGATGGCGTGCATAGTAGAGACTAGGTTCCGTTTGCGCCGCTCAATGACGGACTTTTGGCCCCTGTTATCTAGCACGAAGGAGAAATCAAACCAACTCTCAAAGCTGCCAAGGTCGTTAAACACTTCGGGTAGGAGAAAATGAAGAAGGGACCATAGTTCAGCAATATTGTTTTGCAGCGGAGTTCCTGTAATGAGAAGGCGGTTCGCGGAGTTGTACGTGAGGAGTTCCTTGATTAAGCGACAATTCAGATTTTTCAATCGATGACCCTCATCCTGTGGGATCTGGTTAGAGTAGTTACGGGAAAGAATACCCGCAGTTCGATCGAACTTACAACAATGATATATTTCCACTGGTACTTCGCCAAATACTTGCGGTCGTTCATGCAAATCTCGTACGACGTGATCACAACCGGGAAATCCGCCTTTTTTTGATCTTGCAATTTCATCCGTTGATCCCGTACCTCGCTACGTTCCTCCTTATTACCATGATAAAGCACAGTCTCAATATCTGGAGTCCAGCGTGCAAATTCGGCTACCCAATTGCTTACCGTGCTGAGCGGTGCAGCAATCAAAAAGGGGCCTGAAACATTGTGTTCCTTAAAGAATGCAATCAAGGAGATAGCTTGAACCGTTTTTCCGAGACCCATCTCATCGGCCAGGATGCCACAAAGACCATTCATCCAAAGGGACTTCAGCCATTCCAAGCCCTCTAACTGGTATTCTCTCATCTGGCCACCCGTTACTAGTTTGGGTTGCTGAGTAGCAACCAGATTCTGCTCTCCTATTGCTGTAGGTTTCGCCTCATATTCACCTGCTGCTTGTTCTAAAGCTTCCTGGACCGTGGGATTGTCCTCTGAGATCTGTACGTCGGCTTTCTTAAAGTAATTCGAGATAACATTTCCGCTACTGTTTTTCTTCGGATGACTTCTTGTCGGCAACTTCGTTTGCTTGCCATTACTGGATCTGGTATCAGTGGATGGCACCTGTTTAGCGTGAGACGACTTGCCACCCCCTCTGGTGGCTCTCTTCTCAGACGTTGTAGGAAGTGTCTTGTCCTTCGATGACGATGCAGTTTGTTTGGCAAGTTTGCGCTTCATTTCTTCTTGCTGTTTTTTTTGTTGTTCTTTCATTTTATCTGCCATGATCGCCACAAACACCTATTTGGTGTGATTAATAAGTGCTTTTTAACTTTGCTGCTGGAGGAATTGGTACAACAACATGAACATACAGAGCTTGTCTTAAGCAAATTGGTCAAAGCCTTAGCCTTGACATCCATACCCTCCTCGTCGTCCTCTTCCACATCATTGTGCTCGACGGTAGAACCTAGTGACTCATCCGCCTCCATTTTGGAAGGATTTCCTTGCTTGGTGGAAGCAACTGTGGAGGGAGACGATGGTTGGGTCGATGGTTGGGGAGTGTTCCCTAAGGAACCAACAGAGCTTGTAGCCATTTGTGCTCTTAATAAAGTGTTAACAATGCACACGTATTGCTGAGCAATTGTTGGTGTCGAATGAACCTGCGGGAGGTAACTAGCAGGAACACGGTTGAGAGTTTCTATATGGCCGGAAAACGATTAGCATGGTTTTTGTCTCAGAAATGTTTGTCCATCAACCGCAGAAAATTACTAGACATAAGGGGTTTGGGTGCGACTTTCGGAGTAGTTACAATGCACGTGAGGCTCTTTCGATGTTCGCCGCCAGCAAAGGGAAACTTAAGGAGAGAACCGACTTACACAGCAGGGATAGCGCAGATAGTCCTACGGTATAATCCAGGGAAACCCAGTTCTATTACGGAGTAGAATGAGGAAGAAATGGAATCCGGCATGCTCCTGTGCCTGTCCTCCCGTTCGATTGTCAAAAATCTAAATTTTTTCAGTCGCCTGCCACTTAACGCGTTGGTTGTCGAAAAGGCGCGAAATGTCGCGTTTAGACAGCAGTTACGTCAGCGCCAAGAATATTATGGTCCCACACACACCGCTTTCGGGATTCCTTTGCTGCAACAAGCACAAACCACCCAACAAGTTTCCTCATCTTCTTCACAGCCAAGAAGCAGAGGAGGATGTTAGATTTTCAATTCAATTACGGCCACTCAATCTTGATATTGTTATCGTTATATAATACAAAGGAGCTAAGAGAAGCATATCTCGCATTCAACTAGAATCCCCTACCATTTGACTCAACGGTCCGTATTGTATCACACTCATTCTGAGACGTTGAGTAAATCACCTTGCTTCTCACACAGATTGTTTCCCTTGAGTGAAAATGACGTTTAACAGCAGGAGCAGGGGAAGAAATCAAGAAAGAAAGAAAAGGGAATACAAGAAAAATTCCAGAGGTCACCAACAGACACCGCATCCAACACGCATACATCCGTAACCTTGCCAAAAGAACTCTTAAGTGAATGTTCAGTTTCCTAGAGATTGCGTAGTTGGCAAACAAATCCAGTGGAAAACTTTAAGCAGTTTTCTTAATAATTCTTCCGCTTCTTCTTATTGCTCTAGTGTTGGGTTTCTCTGGCTTGGAAACATCGCTCTTTGCCGCTGGCTTCTTAGTCACATGTGCTGTCGTTCTTTTGACTGGGCCTACAGGGTCTCTCGAAGGCTTCTTCTTTGTCCACCTGTTCCCACTTTTCCTATTTTTCTTCTTTAAGGGCTTTGCAAAGGATAAGCTTTGTGGGACCGGGAGTTCCTCACTTGGTGCATTTGGAAGCCTCGCTTCGGGGCCGAAAAGCCCGTTGTCCCTAGCGGGGGATACCAGAGGGGCTAGTTCAATTGATTCTGGGCCCTGGCTATTCTGGGTATTATCTGTTTCCATAACGTTGCTTTCGTAATTCGCATCCATCATCTCCAATTCAGGGACAGGCATGACAGGCATAGCTGAGGTTTCAGTTCCAGCCTGAGTGGCTTCCTGTTTGGAGGATGCGTTGCTGGCATTCATGCGAAAGGGGAGTGTTGCAGTTGCCACATTTCCTTCTATTTTCACGTTATTTTGGTTTATCCAGGTAGCTGTACCTTCAGGAAGCTGTTTAATACTCATCTCCGTTAAGTGTGCTCCATGTCCTGCCGATTTCCCGTTCATTGGTTCGTTTTCTTTGGGCTCGCATGGAGTCTCAGTGAGAGTTGGTGTTATTGAGGAGAGCTCTGGTGCCTCTTTCTCCATATTGGGCCTGCTGGATGGCGTATTCTGCTGCACTAAGTTCAATTCTGAATTGAAGGGCATTTGCTGGTTTGCCTGGGGTCCGCCTTGACCGCTTGTCTGTGCCTTTGGTGAGGACACCATCCTCCTTTCCGTTAGGACCTGACATTTGCATAAACAATCCGCACGCGCAACGTGGTGGGCATCATCTTGGCTAGGGATATGTAAGTTCACCGCTGGAACAGGGGGGATTGATTCAGGGCGTGCTGCGTGGCGCAAGTCTTCCCGGCGCGAAGACTCAGCTTCAGCCCTGGCTGCCTCAAGTCTATCCCTAAGCAATCGCGAAGCTCTAGAAGCAGCCTCAGTCTCTTTCTTGCTTTTACCGTAATACCACGACCCTGCCAACGATCGCTTTAGGGTATCACAACCTCGCTTTTTAGATGACTTCAGTTGCTCTATCCCATGCTGCGAAAGTAATTCTGAGCCGCCCAGAGATTCCATATTTCCAAATAAGTCTGACTGAGAACTAAGATTTGTCTTGCTCATAATGTTTCCCGAAACTCCTGTGCGAGGTGCAAGGGAAGGTAGCGCCATCATGTCACCTTGTGCCCCAAAAAGACCCTGTTGAATTCTAGCAGCGCCCTGGGGACCCACTTTCAGTCGAACCACGGACTCTTGACGCAGTGGTGATGGCTGACGGGTTCCCTGATAAGGTTTCGATGGTTGTGTCCATAGGGGTGATCCATTTCTGGCACCAGACGTTCGATTTTCGAGAGATTGTGTCGCGCCAGGGCGAGAGAGTGCCGCCTCCCGACGGTGACGAAGAATCTGCTGAGCTGCGTTTAGGTTGGAATCGATAGATCGAAGCTGCTTGGGTGTTGGGGAACAATCAGACTGCGAGCTGTCGTCAGGAGTCGCTTCTGAACCTTGCCCACTCTCGTAATTCGTCTCGCCTTGCTCAGGGATATCGGTTTCCCCAGCCTGCGGTAATTCCCCAGTCCACTCAAAAGATTCAGTTGTGTCTGCACCCGCGTCTTCGCCTGTGCTACCATTGCTGCTGATTGTGACAAGGTTATTATCCCATTCACCAGCGAACTTGGGGTCTAAACCACAACTCCTCAAATATTTGCGCGCGATCAAGATATCGCTGGCTCGGGTCATAGAGTAATCTGGTTCTGCGTTGGTGATCGTGTCACCCACGTATTTATTTGAAATCGTCTGGAATACTAGCTGCGCTGGAACCTGCTGTGTTCTCAAATAACTGTTGTCCATGCGCATCAGAGCTTGGAGTTGCTTCTTTCTCATTTCTTGCAACAGTTCGTTCTCGTTCTTGATCTGCTCTTCGCGGGAGGACGAATGTTCAATCATCTTGACTTGCTCTGTAGGAGTAAGCCTCAGTTTGTCGACGACTTTGCGATACTCATAAACAGAACGGAGATTATCGAAGATTTCTGTTTGAAGGACCGGGGAGATATCGCTCCATTTCACCGGGCGAAGAGAATCCTAGCAATTCTTTGTTAGATAACCCATACCTTGAAAGTTTTGGAAATAGACTCATATATGCAGCAAACTCACACCTGACAACCCAGCAGCTTCTGAAGCGCCGATTCCAACTTCATTCTCATCGTCGCTTAGAGCCATACGAGCTGACATTGTCTCTGGACTACTCTCAGCTCCATGCAGGTAACCCATAGTGTCTGACCAAGCTTGATGATCCATGTCCCCTGGAAGGTTGTTGTTGTCAGGATTAGATTCTGTCTCTGTCAAAAAGAAAACTCCCCTTTGTTGTTTTGTGTTTGTGTTCATGGTTGTGATCACACTCACTTCTTCCAATCCCATCAGTTACATTTTCACTGTCGTCATTCTTAGCCCCTGAATGTCCCTGCACATGACTTGTTGTGTTGTTGAGATGTTCCAGAGCTCTCTGTTCAGGAGTTACTGATCTCCTTAGGAAGTCTAATGTAGGGAATGCTGCAGGAGGCAAGTTTGGGTTAAAGTCAGTAAAGGGGATTGGGAACGCAGGTCGAGTAGGATCAGATTTGGGTTTATAGACGCGAGGCTCATCGTGGACTGGCAGTGGAGCTGGTTTTGCATACACCTCATCATACCGTTTAGGCGGTTTTATGAAATTTCTGTTCCTGAGATTCATTGCTTTGACTTAATCTATGAGAGATGTTTTCCTAGTATGCTACTGGTGAACAGAGATTTTGTGTGAAGAAAATATTGGGAGAGAACTGCGCGATGGACATGCGATTTTTTAAAGTCGAGGGATTGTGTTGTTGTGTTGCTCGTTGCTACGCGAAAAGGGGTGGTAGGGTATATCGCTGAAAAGGGGTAGGGTAGAAAGAGGTAAGTTTATCAAATGACTACTTTTCTGTGAAACAAATGGACAAACCGTCGGAAGATTTTAAATGACAGAGAAATGTAGATTGAGGCCTCAAGATGCCTTGATTTTCTATCACAGGAGCCTCTTATGACCTTAGGGAGATTAAGGGTGATAGGGGTCAAGTCACAAAACGGAGTTGTGAATGCTTGAACCAGGCATCAAGCGATCATGAAGATATCCGGGATCTTCCAGTTTAGTTCAACAGAGAAGGAATAACACATGAGGCAGAACAGGGAAGATATAAAGGATCATAAGCAAAGGGGCCCAGGAAGGAATAAAACTGGGATTTGCCATTTTTTCCAACTGAGAGAACTAGCAGGTAATGGTCCAGCTAGGGAAAAAGAATTGATGCACCTTGTTTTCATTGCAAAGGGGAAAACATAAACAAAGCAAAGGAGAGAAAAGAAGTAGGTAACAGAAGGGTGACGTCCAAGCCATCCGCCTGGCATCCATCATGGTTGGAGAAAAGAAAGGCGAAAAACAGACCCCTATTTACGTTGAAAACCAGCAGTTTATACCCCTCGTAAATGCCATGTCTTGTAATATCGCCTTTATCCCGTAGCAATGACAGGGAAATGAATAAGCAGGACTTGGAAAAGCGAAATTTTGTATGACAGCTTGAATGTCCTTTCGGAAGACAAGGAGAAACCCCTATGATAGCATATATTTCGGTTTCCGACAGTTTTACGTGAAGAACGGGCTGTCACTGAAAGGTTGTTGCGAGTTTCTCGAAGCAAACCGCTGCTGATCCATTTCGAGCGGGTCGACATCAGGAACATTAACGGCACTGTCGCCCTCATGAATGGCATCAATAGCTCTTTTCCTTGGACTTGAAGCTCGTGGATTTCCGTTCACGGAGCTGACGTCACTCTGCGCTTTTGCAAGATCTCGTTTTGCTGTGAGGACGGATTCAAAGGTATGCAGCCCGCCCTTCAATGGATCTGTAAGATTGCAACAGTATCTTCTTCCCTGAACATTGATGAAGGCTTTTACAAGGTCATAATTCATGATAGCCATTAGATAGGCGATGGCAATGGCTGCTGAACGCTCATTACCCGTTTCGCAGAAAATTAAAACTTTTTTCAACGGCCTGTCGGAGATAGGTTCCTGAGCGTTGGACCCGGGCTGAATGTGGACTGGACAGCAGCACAAATGATCATTGATGCTGCGGATGATGTCAGGAATCGATTGAGCAAGATCTTCATCGTCCTCAAGGACAATGTAGTCAGATTTAATACCAAGTTGGGCGGCACATTTATCTGCACAAACAATACGTTCGTGATAAGGCATGGGCCCCCTAATTCCGAGGAGGTACGTGATTCCTTCGCCTTTCACAAATTCAATGTTTCTTGCTGCAGATGTCGGCCCCACGTATAGAAATGGAAGGATCATTTGAGCTTCTCTCCTCTTGTTATAATGCCATTCCATAAAGCCATAGCCGGAATGGAAGCTTGCTGGTCCGAGTGATTTGAAAAAGTCAGCACAGGCAAAGTAGCCGTTCGGAAAGTCGTGAGAGTTTGGTGCCTCAATCTCTTGAAGCAGGGTGTAGTCCAATGCTTCTGAGAGCCCTGACCGGATTCTATTGAGGCCGGGAAAATATGGCTGTGTTGGAGAATAGGGGGGTTCACTTTGGCCCTCTGTTGTGCTCGGCAATGCTTCTTGGTCCACATCTGGTGGGGACATTATCAAGGGAAAGGATGTCAAATCAGGAATAGAGATTACTTGAAGTTCCTTTTGTGGTTTATAGAAAAGGGAACTGGGGTTGAAATTCCCCAGGAAGTTAACCAGGCGTATACTATGAGGAATGAATGGAAACTAGACAAACGCAGCAAGCTTGGGAAACAAATAACTTCCCAGCACCTGGTAATGGGCTAATGAAATAGCACTGAATGAACAAGCAAAAGTTTGGGATAGTTTGATGCCTGCGCGGCAAATTTAAAAGAGAACATTGCCGCCGATTGAACAATTCAGAAATGACAAGGCCCAAATGATATCAATGCGAGTCGCGGCTCCTGGCCTCTGCATGGCGGATCATGTGATCTCTGGATAGTGAATGTAACTAATCGCTCTTTTCATCTAAATGCCCAACTTCAACCAACTGCCATGGCACCCACCGAAGAGGTTATGCAGTTAGCTGTTGAGGTTTTAGACAGGCAATTGATCCCTAATTATGTTTTTAAAATTTATTAATATTTATTTGAAAACGGTCATATTTCATTGAATTCAATAGACTGTGGCCAGATAGCAGTGGTGAGTCCGGGCAACTGATGACGCTGTGTGGAAATCTAGGAGGAGAATATCGTCTCCATTGCTTCTCACTGAACGGCTAGTACGATTTCACGCCAACTCCAGGCAACTTTGATGTGGAACACATTTTGCCGCCCAGCTGATGTCTCGCTTTGGCAATGTTCTTTTCGTGTGACCTGCAGTTTATCACGAGAAAACGATGATCCGCTGCGCTCGGAGAGCATAGCAGAATGCAAGGCCGTCGAAAAAGAAGACTTGCTTCTCCCTGCTCACAAACAAAAAAGAGAGAGGGGAGAGCTGGTGTCTCATCGGAAAGTGTGAGAATCGGTGTGAGATCACCAAAGATACCTCCTAATTAGCTAACTCCATGGGAAATAAAACTTCAGCCCTGTTAAACAACCAACCAGCGACAGGTTGATCCAGTCTCTCAGATATAATAAACCTGGCTCATGGTATCCATCCGATCCATACCCTGAAACTGGGCAGTCACGAAGCAAATTTTTGACATTCAAACAAGGATTGCTTTAGCATACCAATCTTCAACGTTCCTCTAGGCAACAAAGTTCTGTCTGGCCACTTTATCCAATAATTATATCGGATCCGTGAACTTCCCGGTATGTTTGCATAAAATATTACTGCCATAAAGACGCCCCTTTCGCCTGCCGCCTCATCCTTAACATGCAGTACATTATCCGGAATGTATGGACATGATATTGCCCTCACGCCACATCGTCGCAGGAAAGAACCCCATATTCTGCGAAAGGTTTTATCCCCGCGTGGGTGAACGGAATTGCTCACAAAAAGGCGATAGCCCTCAGAATCATTGCCCCAATAGGCTTTATCATCGCCAACTCGAAACAGCATGAAGCAAGGATGCATCCATGTCTCATTGCCGGTGCGTTTTTCTGGCACCCAAGGAGTTTTGCTCCAGGCACACACGGACAGATGTTCGTGTATCAATCACATGATAGTTACCCACGTAGCCACAATGGCTTTCCCGCCAAGTCATTTAGTGAGGATTTTATTTTTGGGAGTGCTAGCCGAACTGCCGACCCATCAAGCGACTTCTCCTCAGGGGTTTAAAAATTAAATAGACCCCCGTCATGCAGAAAAAGGAAACGCTTCGGATTTTTATATAATATAAGATGTCTTCCTATGGTCAAACAAACGATTGGTAAGAAAGGACAGAAATAACTATACCCATAAGACTGCTACCTGAGGGTGATACTTGTGATCTCACGGAGCCGGGGCGATAGGCCCGCCTCTTCCCTTTCATGGGAAATGGCTCTGCTCGCAGATATATCCCTGCTGCTGGCTAGGTCGCCGATAGAATCATTGTTTGTTTAGATTCCGGGAGTACGGCTTCTTGCTGCTTAGTAGTTAATATCCACCGTGAGAAAGGCGTGGGATAATTCGTTGCTTGGATATCCGCTGATAACGAAACGTCCGCCACCCAGGTCGTTACGTTTACGTAGTCCTAGCCCGGAGGCGAATAATACTTACTTCACCATTTGAAGATGGTTATATTTACCAATTCTATTACATTAATGGACACACATTGCTATAGCGCGTACAGATTGCCCCAGCCACACTAGGCCAGGTAAGCATTTCATGGATAACGTTACGCCATATGAAGAAAAGGAAGACACTTAATAAGAACATATCTGCTAGAAAGGTGGGCGCCAAGAAGAAGAGGATGTGGCGCGAGGTGAGGCGAAAAAGTATGCCGCGTAGGCGGAAATTGTATGCTAAAGTGAGTAGGCAAGCCAAGGTAAGAGACAAAGGGTGATCATGGCTGAATTCTGCTAGGGAGATAAACAAGCAAATTTCCAAAATGGGAATAAGTTGAGTATAGCGATGGAGTAGTGATCATTGATGAATGAAACGAGAGAAAATGATATAGAAGTTGGCAAAGCAGAAGTAAATGACGGAAAGAAAGAAACGCCGTGAGCCCCGAATGCAAGCCTGAAGAATTAAGGAAATTTAATGCTGATATAGTTAGGTATGAAGGAGAAAAGAAGAAGAAAAACTTTGAAACCGTCGCTAGATGCTAAACATAATGCCCATAACAGTAAATATAACAAAATGAAGCTAATCGTCTCCGAAAGGAATTAATGTAGATTTCGAGGAAAGCCAAAATGCCGAACAAATTCTGGCTCTTCGGTTTGGCTTGCCTGAGCCTTCAACCGCTAACCGTCTATAGATCTTCAAATATGAGGTGTTTTTCCATATGAGGTGTTTTTCCTCCTCAAACCTTCCGGATTTGTCGTAGTTGCTTCAGCTCCCTTTCCAGCTCAACAACCATCAAGTTCTTCTGGCGAAGTTCCCGCCGCAGCCGAGTGACCTCATCGCGGAGATCGAGTGAGTTCGAAAGCTCTTCATCTGAGGAGGAACTGGACTCACTACTGTCCCGTTTCCTTTTAGAAGGGGGGAGAAATGACTCCAAGGTGCTATTTTCGTGTTCGTTAACTTCCGGAGAAGTAGGGTCGTCTAGAGACCGTCCATGCCCCCTTCTA